GGAGAATTTAAGGCTTGATTAGGGTTTGTTAGTGTTTAATATGATTGATTCCTCTCTATTATCTGTGTTTAGGCTAGATTTATCTTGATCACATGAATCTAGGTTTAGGCTTTCTCTTATGTCCACCAAGTGTTTGATGAAATGCTGATCTTGTTTAGTAGAGGATTTGCTTGTCTTATCTCAAGAGATTGACTGTCTAAGAAGTATTTTGGCTTGAATAGAGTTGGTTTAGCTTACTTGTTATTGATTCTAGCACTAATGAGAGTTAGTTCTTGTTAGGATGATTAGCAAAGTGTTATTTGCCAAGAGATTGGACTTAACTTGCTTGATTATGAACTTTATGCCTAGGAATTAGCATTGCTCGCTTGTTTGCATTGTCAATGAGTTTGATAACAGCCTTATCTTGCCTTTGAATTCTCCAAAGTCAATAACCACATCTAGGATCCTTGCTTTTATAATCCGAATTTCGAATTTGCTTAGTGTTCTGTTTTGTTTAGTCTGCTTTGCATTGGATCATTGTTTTGTATTGCTCTTACAAGTTGTGCTTGGTTCATGATTCACTTAGGTTGATTAGTTTAGAAGTTTAAACAACTCTCTCTCTGATTTTGCTTGATTTAAAGCATTCTACTACAATTCTAGTGGCATCTAACTAACCCCTTTGGATTGATAATAACCCCATTACTATACTAGAACTGACTAGTATGAGTTTTTGGTGATTGAGAAAGAGCTCAAAACTCTTGTATCAATATACCTTCAAGGATATGACACTCAGTCTGCAACTAAGGACGAAAAGAAGTATATGTACATAACTTCTAATAAATCAGGCAAAAAGCTTATATTGGAAAAGTTCTCCAAACTTCCTTCTTGTTTACATCATACTTATATAGATGCAGTAGAATCTCATCTCTTGATAAAAAAACAAATCCAGATAATTTCACTCTATGGCATAATTGCCTCTGTCACCTAGGCACTTCAATGATGCAAAAAATCATAGAGAGCTCACATGGTCATTCACTGAAAACCCAGGAGATATAACAGGAAAATAAAAAGACATGTGCTGCATGTAGTCTTGAAATATTGATCATCAAGCCACCACCAACCAAAATCGATAAAAAAATCACTAAAGTTTCTTAAATTAATTCAAAGAAATATTTGTGGACCAATACATCCACCATATGGATCTTTCCATTATTTTCTGTTACTAATTGACGCACCCAGTAGATGATCACATGTTTGTCAATTATCATATCGAAATATGGCATTTGCGAGCTTTCTAACTCAACTAATCAAACTGCGAGCTCAGTTTTCTGATTATCCCATTAAGAAAGTTAGATTAGACAACGTTGGTGAATTCACATCCCAAGAATTCAATGATTATTGTACGATAATGCAAATTAAAGTTGAACATTATGTAGCTCATGTTCACATACAAAATGATTTGGCTGAATCATTAATCAAGCATTTGCAATTGATCACAAGACCATTGATAATGAGAACAAAACTTCTCACCTTTGTATGGGTACATGCCATTTTGCATGCAGAAGCACTCATTTGGATAAGGCCCAATGCATAATATAAGTATTCTCCATTACAGTTACCATTTGGTTGAGAACCAAATGTTTTTCATTTAAAAATCTTTGGTTGTGCAGTATATGTGCCAGTAGCACCACCACAACACATAAAGATGGGACCACAAAGAAGGTTAGGAATATATATTGGTTGTGATTCTCCTTGAATTATACGATACCTAAAATCACAAACATGTGTTGTCTTTACGGCATGGTTTGCCGATTGTCATTTTGATGAAAATGTATTCCCGGTTCTAGGGGGAGAAAATTAAGAAATAGCAAAAGATATTAAATGTAGTGTACCAATATTATTACACCTTGATCCTCTCAATAAATAGTTTGAACTAGATGTTCGACGAATTATGCATTTGTAGAGCATAGCCAATCAGCTACCATATACATTAGAAGATACCAAAACGGTAACTAAATCCCATATATCAGTTGTAAATGCTCCTGCTCGTTTTGAAATACCACAGGAACGTGAAAGAGAAGATGATACATGTGAGTCTAGAACACGCTTGAAGCACGGTAGACCTGTCGGTTCTAAGAACAAAAATTCTAGTAAGCAAAAGGAAGTTGAAATGCAAAGCACACCCAAAACTATTTTGGAGGAAGAAAATCATAAAATGAATGACAGTGCAAAGCATCGTGAACTTGAAGGAAATCTTAAGATTTCTTTCAATTACATCTATAAAGAAAAGATATTGAATCAAAATGAAATGGATGATGTTGATGATGTTTTCTCACACCTTGTGTCTAAGGATATAGATGAGGAAAACGAAGATCCAGAATATAAGTCTATGTATGAATGAAAAAGGAGACATGACTGGATAAAATGGAAATATGGTATACAAGTAGAACTTGATTCACTTGATAAGCGAGATGTATTTAGACATATTGTGATTACACTTGTAGATGTGAGACCAGTTGGATATAAATGGATTTTTGTTCGAAAATGAAATGAGAAAAATGAGATTATGAGATATAAGGCTCGTCTCGTAGCCCAAGAGTTTACTCAAAGACACGGAATAGATTATAAGAAAACATATTCTCCTGTTATGGATGCAGTCACATTTAGATTTCTGATGAGTTTAACAGCTGATGAAAATCTAGAGAAGTTTATTATGGATGTCATTATAACATATTTATATGGAACATTAGATACATACATATATATATATATTTCTAATGGATTTAAGATGCTAGCAGCATTAAGTTCCAAACTCAAAGAGTTATGTTTAATAAAATTGCAAAGATCATTATATAACTAAAGCAATTTGGACGTATGTGGTATAATCGTCTTAGTGAACATCTAATGAAAGAAGGATATGTGAATAGTCTAATATGCTCATGTGTTTTCATCAAGAAAATAATATCCGGACAGACAAAGTACTGTCTAGGCCTAAAAATTGAACATTCTCAAAATGATATTTTTGTACTCCAGTCCACATATACCAAAAGAGTGTTAAATCGCTTTAATATCGATAAGACAACTCCTCTAATTACACATATGGTCGTTAGATTACTTAAGGTTGAAAATGATTAATTCCGATCATATGAGAAAAATGAAGAGATACTTGGTCCTTAAAAACTGTATCTAAGTGCAATTGGAGCACTTATGTATCTTACAAATTGTATGCGACCTGACATATCATTTGCCGTTAATCTTCTAGCGAAGACATTGGAATGAGATTAAACATGTCTTCTGCTACCATCAAGGGAATATTGATTTAGGTTTGTTTTATCCTAATATTTTAGATAGACAAATGGTTGGTTTTGCAGATGCAGGATATTTATCAGATCCACAAAGCCAGATCTGAAACAGGATATGTTTTCACAATCGGAAGCAATGCTATATCTTGACGTGCTCAGAAACAGACACTTGTGGCCACTTCTTCGAACCATGATGAGATTATCGCACTTCATGAAGCAAGTAGAGAATATGTACGGTTGAGGTCAATAAGCCAACACATTCGATCAAGCAGTGTAATTCGCATAATACATAGCTAATTATCTTTTATGAAGATAATGTTGCATGTGTTGCTCAAACAAAAGAAGGATACATAAAAAGTGATAGAACCAAACATATCCCTCCGAAATTCTTTTCATACACCCAAAAGTTCAAGAAGAATAAGAAAATTGAAGTAAGATATGTTTGATCATGTGACAATGCAACCGATCTCTTCACAAAATTATTATCGACCACTGTGTTCAGAAAGCATGTTTATAATTTCGGAATACGTCAGTAACAAAACCTATAAGATGACACCCTATTCATTTGAATAAGAGCTTACGTGATTATACTATTTTTACCTGGCTATGGTTTTTCCACATGGTTTTTTAAAAAAAGATTTTTAACGAGACAACAAAAATGTTAAGCAAATGCTATAATGACACTAGTTTCTAAGAGAAAATGTTATGAATGTCAAATATAAACAACAACAAAAGTCATCGAATGAGACTATAAACAAAACATGATAAATTATTATGAAACCCACGTTATTATATATATACAGTAAATTTTTTTTACCTTCTACATAAACAAACGAAAATGTTAAATATATAGTAGAAACTCTATAAATTATAATATTAGAATTTTGATATTTTATTAATTTATAGAGTTATTAATTTATCGGCTTTAGATAAAGTAAATTATTTATTAATAATTAATTAAAAATAATAGTTTTTAAAAAAATTATAATATTTGTCAAAATTTTCATTATAAAATTAGAAATAAATAATAAGAATATTTTAATTTTAATAATAGATTATCATAATTATATGTTTACATATAATTATTTTATATGATACTCCTTCCGTTTTAAAATAAATGTCATTGTAAAGTTTTATTTTTGTTTCACAAAAAATGTCACTTTATATTTTCAATGCATTATTTTGAATAAATATCCACTTTTAACTTATAACTTTATTGTTTTAATTAGAAAGAGAATGTTATTTTTTGTGTGAACAGATGGTAAAACAGAATTTTTAATAGTTTTTTTTTTAATTTATTTGAAAAGTGCTAAAGTGACACTTATTTTGAAAGAGAGAGAGTATTTATTCATTTATGATATTAATTGGATGATATTTTAAAAAAATTATTATCTTATTAATTTATAAATTTATATTAAATTTTAAACCGACCTAACTCAGAATCGAGTAAAATTATTGATTTATCGAGTTTATTAATTTATCGAATATTAATTTATAGAGTTTTTAGTGTAATATACCATTCATTCTCAACATTAGTAACAAAATCTATTTATCTATTCCATCTCTTTATTAGTATTTGTAATTGTATTTTCTGTGAGTATAAAATCTTCATCTTTATTTATATTTATTCGTATAAATCACACTTCTTATTAAGTTATTATAACAAAAACCAAATAAAAATAATTCAACGCATTTTGGCTAAACCGGTCCAAAGCAATATATACCAATTCCTATAAATATTTAAAAGTTACATATCTTCAAGCTTGTTCTTTAGCCATGGCTACTCTTATCCCCATCCTCCAACCTTTTTTCTCTTCAATCACTGAATCTCAAGCACCAATCTCCACTCAAACCTCCGACAACCATCCGCACACTCTCTCCCGCCGAGACGTCGTCTCTCTCTCCTCCGTCTCTCTCCTATTCACTCTCTCTCCAATTGATCCAGTTTTCGCCTTCGGAATCTGTACACACACAAATCTTGGTGTAATTTTTTTTTATCTCCAATCAATCATTTACAGAGAAAAAAATCCCTAATTTCTTGATGGGTTTCACGCAGCAGGACCTAAAGAATGGTTGAAAGATCAGAAGAAGAAGTCATCGAGGTTCTTGTTAGCTCCCATTGATGCTTCTCGTGAAAGCCTCCGCTCTGTTTATCTTTCGCTCAGTACAATTTCGTGCTTTCTTCCTTCTCTCTTTCAGTTTTGTTTCCTCGAGTTTTCTTGATTTTTTTTTTATTTTTTTGTATCATTAAGCAACCAGAGAATCTGATTATACGGATAAAGATTTGGAGAGCCTTCAGAATCTTTTAAGGACTTCTGCAAGAGACTGTGTCCCTAAAGAGAGAAGCTCTCTTGTGGATTTTCAGTCAATGACCGGAGTTGAGGTTTTAGTATCTAACCCCTTTCTTTATTTCAAAATAATCATAACGATTTGTTTCTTTCTTATGAAGATGAATGATGTTTCAGGTTTGCACATTCAAGCTTGTTGTGAAGAATGCTGCTTCATTACTAGATGATAAGGATCCAGTCAAATTGGAAGCAGAGACTATACTAAATGATGTTATTAGGTAAATTGTATAATTTCTGCTAGATTCTATTGAATGCTGCAACACAATTTGTTAATTTGTTAGAAGAATGTAGTGCAAATGCTATCATAATGGTATCAGAGCAGTAAAGATACTAAAATGAGTAAATTATGTAATCTCTGCTGGTGTGATTTTATTGGATGCTGCAACACAACTTGTTTATATGTAAGAAGAATGTATTGCAAATTGCAAATGCTGTGATATGATTCCCATCACAAATCTCTCATCAGCTTCTATTATGGTAGAGCAGATTGTGCTGTGATTTGTTTTACCATATGAAGGAGATTATGTTCTTCCTCGTTGCACGGTTTGCTAATTCCACACTTTTATATTGCAGGTCCTTTGGTTCCCTTATCGTGCTCACGAATGGGATTGGTATGAATCTTCCTTCTGATAGGTTAGTGTTTTTTCTCAAAAAGTTTTGCAAACATGGAAGATTGAGAGATCCTTTTTTTTGTTCATGTTAATTCTATTCTCATGTCACTAAAGCAGAGCAATGTTTTAACTTTGTTTTCAGAGAAAAGATTGCAGATGCAGTTATGGAGGCAATCTCTTATCTTGACAAATTTGAGAAGAGTGTCAAGGACTGTCTTGAGATCTGATCAAATGTTTGTTCTTTTCTTCTTGAAGGTAGAATCAAAGCAGTGTAAACTCCTCATGGCTGTTTAGCGGTACAAACATTTGTTTCAAGTGTACGAAAATGAGAGACATCTCGTTTTATATAAATATAAATCATATTGTTGAATCCTGAGTTTGGATTTTACATATATATATATATCAATGGTTTATACATCAAATTACAAACAATCTCCTACACATTTTCTATGGTGTGAAAAGACTCATATATTTATCCTGCAAAAGCGTATGCAATGAGCTTTTACATGCTCACACTTTGTTCTCTATGGGATTATCCGGAGGCGGGGAGCCAGAGGCCTCGACCAAATACAAGCGGCAGCACGGTGTTCCATCGTCCGGGTGAATCTGCGTGGACCTTGGTAGGCGAAGAAGTTTGTTGAAGAGGTTCAGCGGATCGTGCAGCAGACCGAAATTCGCGTCTGGATCACCAATCTGCGAGAGGCTGACATGAGAGAACCCCAAAGATGGTAAGAGCTGATCAGGCCAGTCACTGTAAAAGTCGAAAACAGAGTTCGGTAGCGTAGCAGACGGTTTATTCATGAAATCAGCCAAGAGAACCGTGCTGGTTACGGCGCACTTGTCAGCTATGAGGTTCAGTACTTGCATTGCCTCTGTGTGAGAGAGGTAATAGAGAATGCCTTCAAGAACCCATACAGTGTTAATATCTGGCATAAAACCAGACTTCTTAAGCTTTTCGAACCAGTCATTGTCTCTGATATCGATTGCTACTCTGACTAGTGATTTCGCCGTCATCCTAAGGTCAGCTCTGGATTTTACCGCGGCTTGAACTAGACTCGTTTTCGCTTCCAAGACATCGGGAAAATCAACTTCGAATACGTCACTTTTGTTCAAACAGTTAAGTCTGTATGATCTTGCATCCATTCCTGAGATTTAATCACACCATTCTATGTTATTAGCTACTTAATATTCAATTCTTGCTTCACATATAAGCCTAAACCAAGAAAATCGAACCTGCGCCGAGTAGAACGACCTGAGCCGCGTCATTGTCGAAAGAATCAAGAGCAGCTTGAATTCTTGTATCAAACCAAAGAGTTCGAACAGCAAGAATCACACCGGGTACCTCTCGAGCATTCTTGAGCCGGTCTTTCTGAATCTTTGTGTGTAAATTTCTCAAATGTGTCTCTCCGGCAAACAAATGAGCGAGAGGATCCTGAATGACATGTTTCCACAGAGCTCTTCCTGCAGCTGTTTGGCAAGCAGATTTCTGAAGGTAATCCCACTCGGTTTGTATGCTCATGTGAAGTTTCTTGACGCTTTCGGTATGTAAAACCTCCGGTATCGCGAGTTCTTCTTCGATATCCGGCCATGTCGTAGCAGTAGCTGATGATTCTTGTTCTTGTTCTTGTACTTGTTCTTGTTGTTGCTTTTTGTTTTCTATTTCAGACATTGTTTCTTTCTTGTTCTCTTGAGGCGAATAATGTTTTGTTCTGATATATATTGAAGGAATGTGTGAAAAAGAAAAATTGATCTGTTGCGTTTCGTAGGGATAAGAAAAGAGAACCACACATAAAAACAAAGGCATACGTTCTTCTATGTATAGCCATTGGCCTTTGTTTTCTGTCAAAAGAGCAAGCGAGTGGCTCCACACTCAAGTTGCATCAATTTACGAGAATACTGCATTTATTTTAATGATTTTGACCAACTAAAATCTCTAGAGCTAGAGTGTCCACTAGTTTTTAGTTATTTTTCTTGAATGTTTCTTTATCAATCCGGGTTTTGCAATAAAACTCTACGCATTTATGGAAGGTCTTGTTCTAATAGTCTGTTTATGTTGTCCAAGGAGTGAAGTTGAGACATGGTAAGGTAGGCCTGCGACTTCGGTTCTTCATATCTGATTTGGGTCGGTTCTTTGATAGTTCGGGTTTTAAATTTCGACCAAAACTAACCGAAACATAAAAAGGTTTGGTTCGGTTCAGTTCTTGAATTTCAAATCCAAAACTAACTGAGCTTTTTGATTTTTTTGTTATAATTCAGCTAAATTTGATTAAATTCAGATACATTAGGATAGTTCAAGTAGTTTGGGTAATTTAGTTTGGTATAATATAGAATGGTTTGGTATAATTATGGTTTTTTTATAATTAAAAACAAAAAGTATGGTTATTGAAAACTGAACTAAACCGATAATTAAACCAGTTTTTAAATCTTGGTCGATCAGTTAAACCTAAGAAACTGAACCAAAACTAAAAACCAAGAGTTTGGTTCGACTCGGTTTGGTTCCTGCCGTTTGGTTAAAAGTCGCAGGCTTAGTGGTAAGAATTTGGTGAGAAATTTTGATCTTGTTTGCTATTGCAATTCTCATTTTGTAAGATTGATGAAGTTTACATCCTTTTACTATAAAATTATTGGTTTTTTACCAAAATAGATTTGAAAAGATCATTTATTATTTAAATGGATTTTTAATTATTTAATTATTAAATTAGAATTATGAAGTTTTTGCAATCTGATTCTACCATTATTTTCTTTGCTGTCAAAAAGTAATTATAAAACTGTAATTACTATTATTTGTCACGTACACAAAGAAAATCTACCAAATTATGAAATTTTTAATTTAATTACAGTAAATTTAAAAATATTTCGTAGATTTTTTTTAAAAAATTTCATAGATTTAGTTGACAAATTGATGATGACATCCCAACAGAACCAGATCTCACTGAACCACAACTACAAGATTTTCAAAAACTAGAGATATTCATTCTAAACAAAGACACTATGATTAGACAAATGGTTCGTTCACTCCAAAACAAGTACAATCAAATGAAATTACAAGCGATGGCCCAAGCTGATCAAGGAAGCAACATAAATACATGGACCACCTCATTTGAATATCTTAAAGACTAAAATCAAGACCCAACGGACAAAACTCAAGGAAGCTGGCCTTTGTTATCTAAAGAAGCCCACAACAACATATTCACGGTTCACATTCAAGAAGAGGAGACATAAAAAGAATCAAGGGATCAACGCTTTAAACCAAACTCGTCAACGGCTAGCAAAGATAAGTATCTAAATTATTTCAATCATATTTTATGGTTTGACTACTCCCAAACTTTGCTCCTTTTGATCTTTCATTAAGCATGATTTATTGTTTCAATTTATGTAATTTTCTTAATGCACTTTTGTATTTTTTTCTTGCATTTATTTTAATTCCCTAAAACTGAAGAACTATTATATAAGGTTCCCCTGCAGTATTGTAATTTGGTTACCTTTGATTTTCTAATAAAATACCGAATTTTCTTCACAAAGATTGTTAACAAATCTTGTGTTCTTTCTCTTTTAAATTTTGTTGAGACCAGCACCTTCAAATTTATAAAGAAGTTTTTGTGTTGTATCAAAGAAAATTCCATAGCCTTCGTGGTACACTTTGATCCCCTAGTTCTTATTTTCATCCCATCCGACCACCGGTCCAATCGTTTGAGTTCCTCGACCATTCGGCCAATTCCATCGTCACCTCGTACCGTCCCTTGTCATGCGTCGTACCGTCCTTCATCACGGGTCGTACCGTCCCTCATCATGTGCCGTACCGTCCCTCGTCACGCATTGTACCGCCCCTCATCCCGCTCCTACCACCATTCGTCCCACGTGTACTGTCCTACGTCCCGTCCCAACCACCAGTCCCATAGCCTGAGTTCCTCAGCTGTTCAACCCAACTCTTTCGTCCCATTTGATCACTTGTCCCTCGGCTACCATCTGAAAGCTAAAGTCCTGATATAAGAGTTATACATCACGATCTAAATCCCGTGCTTGTATCATTTTTGATATCAAAGCTGAAGTTCCTTCAGCAAGTTATATCTTTCCATCCTATCAATTTTCTTTGCATTTTTATTATTTCTTGGTTACATCTTTTATATATAAAAAAAAATATTATCTAAGTTTATTCATCTACACAATTTTTTAAAAAGGGGAAAATTTTCATACATATCTCGGTTTTTCTCTTAATAGTTTTGATCTAATATTGCTTTACATTTAGTTGTTTCAATCACAAAAGTCAAAAAAATTAGAAACAGAATTTTAGCATTTTTCTCCTCATTATAGTTTCCATTTCTTGGACTACATTATCATTCATCTCATTGTGTTTTGTTTGATACGAACTTGTTCCCATATTTGTTTCAATAAACCGTATCACTTCAATCATCGGCTTTAAAACCATTATTATTTCGGTTTAAGGTACCTTTGATAAGAAGTCATGGGAGAGGAGTCAAGTAACGCTCAAAACCCTGCCACTCTTATGATGGCTATGATGAGAGAAGAGTTCCGAGCTTTTAGACAAGAGATCGGAGACCGTCTTACCCATGTAGAACAAGCACCGCGACCCCCTCTACAAACGGTCAGGAACGTGGGAGGTCGTGGGCCCAATACTGTCTTTGGGAATACACAAAACACCGGCAACAACAATAGGCGTAATGGAATACACATCAATGAACCAAACAGAGATACACAAGGTGATAACAATGATTCACAAGACGATGATGATGACCCGCATTTACCAACTAACCAGGGGAGAAGAATACGTATACCAAGGAATGAATATGTAGACGAAGAAGATGACAACTATCACCAGAGGCAACACTAGAGCCACATCAAACTAACAGCACCAAGCTTTTCTGGAAAGGTTGACCCGAAGGCTTATCTAGAGTGGGAAAAGAGGATGGACCATCTATTTGATTACTATGGCGACCCCAACCACAAGAGAATAGCCTTAGCCGTTGCTCAACTTATGGACAACGCCCTCATCTGGTGGGACAGAACCGTAGCTGACCGCAGGCGAAACCGTCAAAGAGCCATTGACTCATGGCTAGAGATGAAAGATATCATGCGCCAAAGGAATATCCCTCTCCATTTCAATAGAGACTTACAACGCAAGTTTCATGCTCTTAAACAGGGAACTAGGTCAGTAAAGGAGTACTATGAAGAGTTTGAGCGCTTGAGGAACCGCTTGGAACATCATGATGACGAAGAAGCTTTGATGGCACAATTCTTAGATGGGCTACAAGAACGAATCAGACACAAAGTAGAAAGACAAGTTTACCAAGACTTCAAAGACCTCTTTCACCTAGCTATACAAGCAGAGCAACACATCAAGCGAAAGTCCAGTACCACTCGGAGCAAACCTCAAACGCCATGGAACCCAACGCTAACAAACCTCTAGATAAAGGAAAGGGTATTGAGATAGACTCACGGTACAAAGGGAAAGCTTCAGAACCCACCAAAGACAACCGTCCAGAAGCAGGTAAGTCTACTAATCCTCAACATTCTAGAGATATAACATGTTTTAAATGTAGAGGCAGGGGACATATGGCGAGAGAATGCCCGAATCAGTGAGTCATGCTCTTAACTGAAACCGGCGAGTATGAATCTAAAGACGAGGCAGAAGCTGAGCCGCTTGATGAATTTGGAGATATTGAGTACCCTGATTCAGGAGAGCTCCTCGTTACACGACGTATACTTAGCACAATGGTGGAACCAGCCGAGCTTATGCAAAGAGAAAACATCTTCCACACACGCTGTACCGTGCAAAGCAAGGTATGTAACTTAATCATTGATGGTGGATCTTGCACTAACGTGGCAAGTACACACATGGTTGATAAACTTCACTTTGAGAGAACTAAACACCCACGACCCTATAGGCTAAGGTGGCTCGATGACAAGGTTGAGTTAAAAATCAATGAGCAAGTTGTTATACCATTTAGTATAGAAAAATATCAAGATAGTGTTATTTGTGATATAGTTCCTATGCAAGTCGGCCATATATTGTTAGGCAGACCTTGGCAATTTGATAAAGAAACTAAGCATGATGGTAAAACTAACATGTATACATTTATGCATGACAAACGAAAGATTAGCTTAGCACATTTATCACCTTCTCAAGTGCATGATTTACAACTGCAAATGGCTAAAGAAAAAGAAATTAGTTCTAAGTCTAATTTTCTTATTCAGCCAAGTCATGTTAGAAAGGCTATAGCTTCTAAACACACAATGCTACTAATGATCTTTAAGGAGGTTTTGAGCACAGGTTATGGAACAACAGAGTTACCACCAGAAATCATTCAGCTGCTTGGCGTCTTTAAAGATGTGTTCCAGAAGAAATGCAAGAAGGATTACCATCTTTGCGAGGGATTGAACACCAGATTGATTTTGTTCCTGGTGCTGCTTTGCCCAACAAGCCAGCTTACCGAATGAGTTTTGAAGAATCTAAAGAGCTTGAGAAACAAGTCAAAGAGCTACTAGACAAGGGCTACGTGAGGGAAAGCCTTAGCCCCTGTGTTGTACCAGTCTTACTAGTGCCAAAGAAAGATGGTTCCTGGAGGATGTGTGTAGACTGTAGAGCCATCAACAACATCACCATCAAATACCGCCATCCAATACCAAGGTTAGATGATATGCTTGATGAGCTTAGTGGTTCTGTTTTTTTTTCTAAAATATATTTAAAGAGCGGATACCATCAAGTGAGAATGAAAGAAGGAGATGAATGGAAGACAGCTGTCAAAACTAAGCAAGGACTATATGAATGGATGGTAATGCTTTTTGGACTCACCAATGCTCCTAGTACTTTCATGCGCCTCATGAATCAAGTGCTTAGAGCATATATCAGTAAG